CACATACAGACCGGTTCCCACTCACTGGCTGAGCGAGGTGCGGGCGCAACACCGAGGGTTGCGATCCCGTTGCCGGACACGAAAAAAGACAAAAAGGAAAAAACAAAAACAAAAAAAAAAGATAGACAAAATATAGGATGTCCTATCTGCATGGTAGCATGGGACTGGAAAAATGACCACAAGCTGATACTGTGCAAAGTGATCTTAATAATTAATGGGGAAAATTATGATTGTTCCATCATCTTTAAAAAATTTTGTCAAAACAAAAACTCTTATTGTTGGTTATAAATATACATGGGAAAATAAAAAATAAATAAAACAAATATTTATTTAGTACACTGTAACTTAAAACATGAAAAACATTAGGAATTAGTGTTTTACTTCTTTGTAAAAACTTAAATATAGTTTGAAGACTGCTTACTTTCTCAACGTGCAACTTATGGGCAAGCATCTTTTCTATCCCTTGGTGAAATGAAATATTTCCCTCTATGTTTTAATCAACTTCCAAAATTTTATTATTTTTGTTTTCAGTGTCATGAAATATTTCTGAAAGTTCCTTTAATATGAAGTTCTTTTTACAGCATCACTTCCTCTGGGACATCTTCAGCCTTTTTGTCACAACTACTTTCCTTGTTTATGTCCGTAAGTTTACCTTCACTAACTTCCTCTGGCTGCATATCTAGTCTCTTGAAAGGCATGTCAACATTTCCAAAGTCAGCTATTTCTTCTATAACTCCATTATCTTCTATTCAAATTTCCTTCCAACATTATTACTAGTTGCTTTTCTGCAGCATTTTCATCTTTTTTGGCCAATTCCCTTTTTTGATTATCCACCTTTATAAAATGTTACATGAGCTTATTGCTGGGGACAAGGAGGCAATACAACTACATGATCTGTGGGTGACGTGAGTAACAGATGCATAGTGACCAATCATTGACACACATTATGACACAAGCCATGACACACACCAAAAGAAGTGACATGATTTCTCACTGATCATTAGCACGTCTGTTGTTATGCAATGATTCATGGACTGCAGAGCTAACAAAGTTCACATTTTATGCAATTATTTAAAGTTAATACACCATGGTAAGTTCATGGCAAGATTCGTATTATCTTTCATTCTATTCTTCCATGAACTTTTTGAAGTACCCTCATATATAAACAACTGAAGGCATCGTAGGGCAATCAATGCAGGCAAGATTAAGCAGCTACAATCTCCAAAAAATGAGGAATACAGAGATGAGCTCCATGTTCCCCTCAGCCTTTTCCTTGGTGGTATTTTCTAAATCACGGCAAGAATAGAAAGAATCTGAGCACAAAGCAATTCTTCTGTCCTGAGAAAGCAAAGGTTGGAGTTAGATTCATGCCCAAGTGGAGGCACCTTGGTACATACCCAGTTTTCAATAGTAATCCCTGAAGGGTCATTCCTGAAGAATAAGGACTATACCTTAGGAGTAATGGCACTTTCTTCACAAGCTAAGCATAACGTTTATACTGTTATATGATATGGGCTAAGTGATTAACCTAATGTTAGATAATCCATGAACAGAGGTACATTGGAAGGGTATAATGTAAAAGATGACTAAAAGTAGCTTTTGTGCAAATTTGGGCATAAAGGCTAGAATTTAAACTTGTACTACCAATTCTAAAATATATCAATTACTCACAGGGTTATGGTTTTATCATATTTTATTAAGTGGTATTTTAAATTAAACACTGCTATAGTTACCATTTTGTAATCCCATCCACAGCTGCTTGTGATCTTTTTTCTGCATTTCATTGATTACTTGACTTTTATGCTTTAAAGCATCAGCTTCTTTTATACAAGACATAAAATGAGCTTCAATTGCATCCTTAGATGGACAATGCAGAAGGTCCTTTTCTGGAAAACTCTATCAAAGGAAAAAAATACACACAAAGAACAGGTACGCATATTACAAAATTAGCTTTTTAAAGAACTGAATCCACCAGTTTTCCAATATTTTTAGCAAATCTTATTTTATCACTACAATAATTCCAAATAATTTTTAAATTAAATTAAAAATCTTTAGCTATCTGGCATGTTTTGTACTCTTCCAAAATAATCCTTATATGTGCATTTACAACATGAAAAAAGACATTAAAGGGTAATCATTTTTAAAATAGCTTTTCAATTGACTACACCAAGTGTTAGCAGAGATGTGGAAAAGAACTTTCATACCCTGCTGGTGAAAATGTGAAATGACACACCCACTCTGGAAAACAGTTTGGTAGTTTCTTAAAAAGGAAACCTACCATCTGACCCAGCCATTCCACAACTAGGTATTTACCTTAGAGAAATGAAAGCATACATCCATACAAAAACTTATAGGTGGGGGCCGGCCCGGTGGCGCACTGGATAGTGCGCCGCTTGGGAAGCGTGGCGGCGCTCCCGCCGAGGGTTTGGATCCCACATATAGACCGGTTCCCGCTCACTGGCTGAGCGAGGCATGGGGGCGACGCTGAGGGTTGCAATCCCGTTGCCGGTCCCCGGCCCGGTACGGGGGCAACACTGAGGGTTGCAATCCGTTGCCGGACACGGAAAAAAGACAAAAA